TTTGATCTCCATAGAGAAAAGCATCATCATATTTTTCTACGAATATATATTTCACATCTTGTTCATCTGGTTTCCTTTTGGGCAGCAGGGACATCTTGTTCATCCGACGAAAGTGGGTTCGATTTTTTCTTTTAAAATTTAAATGTGAGGGGGAGGGTCTTATTTTTCTTGGATGAGTTCTGGGCCTGACAAGGTGGGCCTAACATGACACAGCCCAGGCCCATTTAAAACAACGACTCAGTATAGTACGTAAACGCTCTGGGAAGGCGGAAAGAGGTCTCCTCTGTTTCCTCTTCGGCTCGCCCTAAACCCCTTCCCCCTCTCCTCCTCCGCGACCTCCCTCTCCATGGCCGCCAAGAGGAAGCTCGGCAGGCCGCCGCCGGCGGCCGCGGCGGCCCCAGCGTCTCCGAAGGCGAAGGCGAAGGCGAAGGCGAATGAAGACGACGCGGAGGGGCTCTTCTCCTCGCGCTCCTTCGCCGACCTCGGCCTCCACCCCACCCTCTGCGCCCACCTCCAAGGTCCCTCCCTCCCTCCCTCCCCCTCTCCAACTCCCCACGCCTCTGTGTCCCTAGTCCACTGTCTTCCATGTATTTTCCGCTTCCTGTTCGAGCTTCCCGTCGAAACAGCGACTAATTGAGGCATTTAGTCAGCAGCATCCCGTCAAATTAGTGCAGAAAGAACACAAATTTCATGGCTCTCCGTCCCAATATGGAACGGATGGAGCATAGATTCTTGGTTGCTGCCTGCTGGGTCAAATCTAGCAGAAGAGCTCACATATTTCGGTGAGATTTTGTGTATGGGATGCCCAAGTAGGATGCCTCTGTATCCTGCCGAGCACAGCCTGTGCACATTCTGCAGAAACTAATGTGTACTTCTTACTCCCTTCAGCCTGCTTGCTGATGGTTCTGTGGTCTCGTTTCTCCGGTGCAGATAAGATGGGTTTCCAGGGGCCGACGCGGATCCAGGCCCAGGCGATCCCCGTCGCCATGTCAGGGCAGCACCTGTACGCGCCCATCAGAACCTCATTTTGCTCGACTGCATAAACTGCATTACCGCTTCTGTATTCAAAGGTTTCTTCGTTGTTGTTTGCGCTGCCAACCGCAGGCTCGTGAAGGCGGCGACCGGCACCGGGAAGACGCTCGCGTACCTCGCGCCGATCGTCCACCTCCTCCAGATGAGGGAGCCTCGTGTCGAGAGAACTCACGGAACTTTTGGTAATGGCTCATTGCGCTCTGCTCTTGTTCCTTTTTCTTTTTTGCTGCGTATACGTGGTGGATATGCTCTGTTTATCATGGTATTTTTTTTGTCATTATATCTGGTTGGTAGTTACTTATATCTGATGGAATTCAGCTATGTTACCAGTCTTTACAAGGAAAGTTGCTGATAAGCTGATTGATATGTCGGCTGAAAGCCTGAAACATAACCGAAAGGTCCAACAGAAACTATATCATATAACTATATAATTGAACTCTATCAGTTGCTATATGAAGGGTCCCCGATTAAATTCATCGATCAAATTTCAATGGAGCTGCAAAACTGTAAATCACTCTATTTACCTTGTGAAGAACCCTCGATATTCTGAATGATGTTACTAATTATTTGACCTGCAGCGTTGGTAATTGTTCCAACGCGAGAGCTGTGCTTGCAGGTTTATGGGATTGCGCAGCAGTTGGTGCATCGCTTTCACTGGCTTGTCCCTGGGTATGTAATGGGTGGTGAGAGCAGATCAAAAGAGAAAGCAAGACTGCGGAAAGGTATATCTTGTCCCGTCAAGGAGTTGACGCAACTTCTCATATAAAATGTTGCCTTCATACTACAATCTTGTATTTTGACTCCACATGTTTTCTCTAGGAATATCAATCCTAATTGCCACTCCTGGGCGCCTTCTGGACCACTTACAGCATACTTCATCATTTGTTTATTCAAATTTGCGCTGGATAGTTTTCGATGAAGCTGACAGGTCTGCTAGTCATAAACTCATCGTTTTCTTGACGTTTTTACATACAAGATACTCCCTCCGTCCCAAAATCCTTGTCTTAGATTTGTGTAGATACGGATGTATCTAGTGTTAGATACATCCGTATTTAGACAAATCTAAGACAAGAATTTTGGGACGGAGGGAGTATCTTATCCAATGGACACAGCTCTTACTGCAACGGTGTTTATTTGTATTCATGCAGCATTCTTGAGCTTGGTTTTGGAAAAGCAGTCGAGGATATACTAGGGCTCTTGGGTTCCAGGAATGATGCTTCCGATGAGAATAAAAGCAAAACTGACCCTATGCAAAGGCAAAACCTTCTCTTATCAGCAACTCTCAACGAAAAGGTGAACCGCTTAGCCAACATTAGTTTGAAGAACCCAGTGATGATTGGACTTGACGAACAAAACAAGCCTTCTGAGAGGTCCAGTGCCCTAGGGAAGAAGCACACTTCCTTATTATCTGATGATGAGGACGAAATGCCTAAAAAGCACAATAATGTAGTGGAACCTGCGGTTGATGATTTTAAGCTTCCTGCACAGTTGGTTCAAAGATATGTTAAAGGTAGCGGAAATTTGCTCGCTTGGAACTTTACATTCTTGTCATGTTTTGCTTTTGTAGTTACCGCAATGCTTTTTGTTTTATGCAGTTTCATGTGGTTCGAGGCTTGCGGTTCTCCTTACCATTCTGAAATCTCAATTTGAAAGACAAGTGTCCCAGAAGGTATTTTCTATATACCATGAAGCTGTTTAACTTTCACTAGCCTTTTTATTTTTACCGCAAGTTTTGCTTGTCACAATGTACGCTCTGGAGGTCCTGTGAATTGAGTTAGTTTTCTTCTTCCTTCGGCAGGTTGTTGTTTTCATGTCAACATGTGACGCTGTAGATTTCCACCACACTGTACTCAGCCAGCTTGAGTGGAGCCGTGGCCTCGCATTAGACACAGATAAGAAGCAAAAATTTCTTGGCTGCAAGGTGTTCCGTCTACATGGTAACATGGACCAGGAAGACCGCAAAAAGTCATACCTGGGATTCAGTTCTGAAAAATCTGCAATCCTTGTATGTACTGATGTTGCTGCCAGAGGCTTGGACATTCCGAAAGTTAGGTGCATCATACAGTATGATTCACCTGGGGAGGCTTCTGAATATGTTCACAGGTACCTTAAGCATCTCATGTCATGCATTTTTAGGTTATACTGGTCTCATATTTTCTCCATAATTGTTGCCAGATTCTTTGTTCATATGCAACTGAATGAAGCAAGCACACATAGTTCTTTCTCTTCATTACTGTCAATCTTGTACACTGTTTAGCTCTTTCTTGTGAACACTATGGCGTTTTCTAGTTTTTTTAAAGAAGATTTGATGTTATAAGCTAATAAAGACAGTTTACCTCATACTTCGTCTGCACTATCATCTTCGTCTGGGCATGCTTCAGTTTCAATAACATCAGTTGTTTGTTATAGGGTTGGAAGAACTGCAAGGATTGGTGAAAAGGGAGAGGCCCTCCTGTTTCTCCAACCTGTCGAACTCGACTACTTGAAAGACCTAGAGCTACATGGTGTATCTCTGACAGAATACCCCTTCCAAAAGGTTTTAGACGGTTTCCCCGTGAATGGGGAGAAGCCTCTCAAGAGGAAGCCAATATCTTTAGATATGCACCCATGGATACTCTCTGTACAGAGAACGCTGGAAAATTACGTCGCATCCGAGGTAACACACACATTGTTGCAGCTGGATCCAATGACATATTTTGGAGTATCTTTCGCCTTCAGTACCGTTCTTTGGACGAGAGAAGCCTTATCCTTCAGACTTTCTTCTTTTTATTTTCTTCCTTCGGTGGACTCTTGCCATCTCGAGTAGCTGGAAGAACAGCTCCGATTGCTCGTTTATTGTGAATATCATGCTTCTGCCGATCTCAACAAGCGTGCTATCGTATTCTCTTATCCAGGCCACAACAAATAAGCTTGCCAGAGATGCCTTCTGTTCCTGGCTTCGCGCTTACACCGCCCACCGCGGTGAGCTGAAGAAGATTTTCATGGTGAAGAAGCTCCACCTGGGACATGTCGCGAGAAGCTTCGGGTTGAAGGAGCAACCCTCGCTGGTCGGGAGGTCGCACCAGGTGCAACTCAAGAAGAGGAAGAAAGAACAGAAACGCGAAGGACAAGGACCGACCAAACGGAGAAAATTCCCCACCAAGAAGTGAATTCCCATATGGCAATAGAAGATCATCACACAGGAGACAGCACCTGATGGATGGTGGATCATGAAACTAACAGCAGCAGCGATTTTTTGCAAGAAACTCATGAGAGCTAGACAACTAATTTACTGTGCAACCACAGGATTTTGTCATGTGTTCCTTGGATGTAAAATGTTTGATTATCTTTGATCATAACTCTCGTCTTGTTTGTCAAAGCCTCATGCTCGTCTGTTCATCCGTTTGGAAGCAAGTGCTCGCTCGAAATCACGAAATAACAAAATCTCACGATGATCTACATGTTAAAACATTTTATTGAACCGACGCAAGAGAATGATATCCAATAGTTACATGTCAAGCATACCGAACATGTTCTGCCAACAGCTGATATGCTAAGATGGTTCTATCAAAATTACACTGGGATTCAGAAACGACGTTGCTGCCTGAACCGATTTTGATACAATGCTGTTCTAGGGCTCTTCAATAATCTACAGAGTTCTGGTGAATTTTTTTTCTCTCCAGCCAATCCGATCCCAAATCACGGTATGTTCAACAAAGGGGCTTCTCATCAAAAGTGAGCCAAACTGTACACAAGGATCCATGAAAGCTGCAAGCAACACAACAACAACAATCATCTTGTCAGTTTGTCAGTAACCATCATCTGCTGATTGAATATGCATTGCCAAATAAGTAATGTGCTTGCTATCTGCTACCACTACTTCAAGTTTTTATGTACTCCCTCCGTTCCTAAATATCCGTCTTTTTAGAGATTTCAAATGGACTACCATATACGGATGTATATAGACATATTTTAGAGTGTAGATTCACTCATTTTGCTCCGTATGTAGTCACTCGTTGAAACCTCTAGAAAGACAAATATTTAGGAACGGAGGGAGTACTTGCTACTGCAGTTGCACATGGCAGTCTGGATTTCAGAATGGTTACAGAGAAGTGAGAACCGCAACATCATGACGGTAGAAAGAACCAAGAAAGGCAGTCTGGGTTTCAGAATGATTTTCAGATTTGCTTGGGACACAACTAGATTGGAACTGATGAAACAAAAACTGTTGAATGAAAGGCTTTACCAGGAAAAGGGTGAAAGATGCGAACATCCCCTCCTGAAGCAGCGCGCCATGGCCTCCGAATTCTTCCTCGTCGACCTTCAATAGGTGCGCATAGTACCAGTAAATTATGCCAGAAGAAATGGCCACGAACCTGTGAGAAGTCAGGCAGTATATAACCATCAAGAGCTCACATACAGGTACCCAAAACAGGGCCCTAATGACTGAAAACATATATTCCAACAAAAAAATACATCTCAATGGGCTCATGGCAGCAACACTGGATCTCAATTTTGTGCGAAAACCTTGCACGCATTCCAAATTTGAAAACAGCTAATTATTACTCACAATCCCAGAAATAACTGAAACGGCAAGAACCATACACCCCGGGCAGGCCGAAAAAAAAAGAGAGGAGATCCTCAATTGAGGTACTACAAGAACATGTGTGCTGTGCTCAGGCCTTGCAAATCCAGCAACTCCCTGAACAACATATTCCCCCTAAAATTCGTTCAACTCCAGCAGCACCCCCAAATGGCACCCCCTAAATAACATTTGTAACGGCTAGTTCTCCAAGGAAGGGGAACCTTGGCGCAGCGGTGAAGCTGTTGGAGTCACGGGTTCGAGTCCTGGAAACAGCCACTTGCAAAATACCAAAGGGAGGAGGCTCCCCTGACAAACCGCACCCTGCAGTTGGGTCACTGACATGTGGGCCAGCATGTAGGTTGGCAGGGTGCGGTACGTCAGGGGAGCCACCTCCGTACCAAAGACCATCCAAAGTGGTCGGACCCTTCCCCGAACCCTGCGCGAGCGGGAGCTACGTGCACCGGGCTGCCCTTTTTTTACTTCTCCAACGGCTAGTTTTCATGTCCATATACACAAGTTCATCCCCCATATCTCTCTCACTCTCTCTCACACACACACTCCTGTCTCTGTCTCCTCTTCCACATCACATTCCCCATCTCTCCCGCAACGAAATGAGCCGCCACCGTCGCAGCTTGGCCTGGCAATACTTCCTGGATTCCTCGTCCGACGAAGAGGAGCTACTCTACATGGCCGCAATCATAGCACAAGAAGAGCAAGAGCGGCTGGACGCTCCTCCAGAGCACAGCATTTCTGCGCCGGCAAGTCTCTGCTCCTCTGTCTTTGACGCATCCGGTACAACCTCCCGCGTCCACCAGCCCACTGCATCCACCACATCCACCGCGACCTCCCGCGTCCGCCGCGCCCGCCGCCCCGGCTCCGCTCCCCGGTCACCGCCCCCGCGGCGCCGCGGATCGCCTGCGCGGACGGCGGTGACCGCCTCTCCCGCTTCCCCAGGCCACCCTGTCAGCGGCGTGGCGGCCGGAAGGAAGAGCCTTCCGGCCGGCTTCGTCGCGCGGACCGGGGAGGGGACGGAGGCGGAGCCCGGGGTCGAGGAGAGCGGATAGCCGGTGAGGCGAGAGGGGAGCCGCTGCCGGCACGACGACTCCACGGGCAAGAAAAGAGAGAAGAAGAAGCGGGGGGCTGGCGGGAGATTCGGGGCGCTTACAGGACGATCCAGGCGGCGCCGACGAGCGGGACGGCGCCCCAGAGGAGGCCGCAGGCGAGCCCGACGGCCTGGCGGATCCAGTGCACGGCGTCCAGCAGCCGGTCCTTGTCCCACGGCGCCTCCGGGTCGAGGTACCGCGCGAGGCCGGACGGCGCCGCGTGCCCGGCCCCGCCGCCCTGCTGCGCCGCCTGGCTCTTCTTCGCCGCCGACGACGACGGCTTCGCCCGCGCCATGGTGGGTGGGGGCAGGCGGCGGCGGCGGCGGCGGCGGCGGGATCGAGGTGTGGGGGAAGACGGCGATGGGATCGAGGTGGAGGAAAATAGTCGTCTTTCCCTCTTTTGGACTGGAGAAGAAGAAGATCTCGGGCGTGTTTGGTTGGTGGTTGGGGTTTTGCGCGCAGGCCCTCGGATGATGTTAAATATTGCGTATATGCCCCTAAAAAGTGAAAAAGCAAATCATTGGCCCACCATGGGTGAACCTTTTTTTTTAGAGAAATCATTAGTGTGCTTCATTTCATTGGCATTGTTCGGTTCAGAGCCGGATTTTGCAACAACAAAAAACATGGAAAAAAATGAAATCTTGTTTTTCGATAATGTCCATTTCGGTTCGCGGGGTTTTTAAAGCGCGGGAATATACAAAACACACGATTGAAGTGTCGTGTTATCTTGGATCTTAGGAGCATATGATTTAGAAAACCAGATGAATTTTGAACCAGAGAGTGAGAGTGTTTGGCAGCACAGACAGAAAAGGTAATCTTTACCAAGAGGTCCGCGCCGATGAACCAGAGAGAGTGTTAGCCATAAACAGATGCAAATTGGCGAAGTGGCTATGAACCAAACATACGCCGAAGATCTCGACCATGGAGAACAACATTGCACGGCTCAACAATAGATCCTGCATCGCAGACAGAGCGAAACCACGCCCAGAATTACATCCGCCTTTCGGCACCAAGCCCTCCCCGCGACACAAACCATGTCCAAAATCACATCAAACTCTGTTCTAAACGGTCGACAGACAACTCCGCAGGCTTTCCGCGAGCCAAGCCGCCATCCGTGGAGGTTAAAGGGGGCTGAAGAATAGCATTCTCTTTGTGGGGGTTAATGGGGGTTGAACGATAGCCGGGTCTCCTGCGCAACGGCGTTTGCAGGGAAGAGCGGGATGGCCAAGTCATCGGTTAAGGATTAGTTTGGCCAGGTCAGGGTACGCATCGGCTGGCGACTCACCCGTTCCCCCCTGCTGCACAAAACAATGGGGAAAAAAATCGGGTTATTTGCCTGTATGCATAATTGCGTAATGGGGAAAAAACCGTAGGAGGTTTGCATAAGCAAAGAGCAAAAAACTGAGGTATGCTGAACAGAATCCAAATGCAGCAATTTTTCGCACCGAGTGTGAAGCGTGATTTTGTTAATGCAGTTCTCATTTCAGCAAGTCAAATATAAACCATGGCACTCCTACTTGGTTTTTACACCTTATACCTACGAAGAGTTTCAGATAGCAAGCAATGTCACTGGCTAGCCAACAGTACAACAAAAACTGCAAGGCCACAGATTTGTCGTTCTTGCTGACAGGATACTAGGTCATACCAAATTTAGCGAGAAATCATTGTTAGATCAATTAGTGGGAGTAGTCTGGCAGTGATTAATATACACAGAAACTGATCTAGCCCTCTGAAACATTTATTACTTGCTCCACGGAAACCACATGCGCAAAGAAGCAATATCGAACAAAAAGTAGGTACGCCCGACTTGCTGGTGTGTTATTTGCAACATGGGAATAATAATCAGAATTGATATTTTGGTGTACAAGCTGTTTTCCTCCAGAGTATTTTCTAGACCAAAGGCCAGACGGTCCCGATTTATAGAAAGCCATCATAAGTACGCGGTGGCAGTTTAAGAATTCCAGGTTTCATGTTCCTCTAGATAATGCTAAACTGAAAATAGGGGTGATGAGACGGTTACCACAAAACGCGGGGAGCGACGCACAGAACCAGGAGATGCTGCCAATAGGGCGGAAGCTTTTCTCTTAGCGGGAAGAGCCGGCTTCCTGTTCTTACTTTGAGAATTACTTTTATCTCTATCATTTTTGCTTGTGGAGTCAACTGACTTTGTCACCGGAGATGAGATGGGTATAGCGGAAGCATCTGAACAAACTGTTGGGCTTACAGGAAGATCCCCTGCGAAAGACAAAGCAATTAAAGATTAAAGATTACATGACAAAGGACAAACGCTTAAGTGAATAAACAGGCAAAGGAAGGTTCAGTTCCATGGAGAAAAAAATAGAAGACCCAATCTTGTACATGAAAATCATATGGTGGATTATTTGGAACATTTGACATATGGTTTGGGCAATTCTCAAACGCCGGAACCAAAAAGTCACCGATTTATAGAACCTCTGTAATGTTGACATCAGATACAGTTTGGAGTTCCAGGAAATGAGCCTCATATGGTTACTGGCGGAAACAGACCTGATGAAGCTTATTGTGCCTTACTAGCACGCAGAAGTAAAGGAAGGAAATCCAGATTGTTTAAGATGCTTATGAACTTGATGCTTGTTCGTACAAAAAAAAGGAAAAATATATTGGGTACCATTCAAAGCAGCAGCCTGGAACCTCTGTCGGATTATTCTTACAAACTTGACTAGATCGTTAGTGAGGTTCAAATCCTTCACCAGTTCCTCAGAATCTTCCACGGGTGGACTACATCGAAGTACTGCTATGAATAAAAAGAATGTGTGTTTTACGACCAACCATGTGAAATGAAATATGAGGTATAAATTTAAGATGAAATCCATGTGAAGTTCCAACTCACAGGTACATCTATCTTTGTCAAACTTTAGGGAAAATGAAAACTCCTTCTCAGGACTTTGCGAGTCAACCTTGTCGAATATGAATTTCACGCCTTAAGAAAAAGAACAAAAAAATCAGGGGTAATCATGACGACATCAACATAATTTCCTTACGCATGGCACCAAATTATCAATTACCTTCCCCTTCGACAACGGCCTGGAAGCCAAGGCGCTTTTGATACCAGCAGATAGCCTTTTCCATGTCTTTCATCAGTGTAACGTCTTCATCATTCTTTGCTTCAAAAGCCTCAGCAGCTGCCACGGCACATTGAGAATTACTACATCGGTGTCACATAAACTACTACCTCGGAACAGTTCAGTTAAGGAAACAAGCGTGACTGACAAACCGGTACAGAGCTACGCTGCACCAAACGATATACGGCGACAACGGCATAACTCCCCAAATGCTGAACTAGAAGTATTTTGAAGTTACCCTCGAGCACATCCGATATGACCGCGGCATGCCGCTCGCTCCTGCTCCTCTGACCGGTGACCAGGTCGCCTAGCTGCTCGCTTGTAGCAGCCGAGGCCGAAATCGACTCCCTGAGTCGCTCGCATTTCGACTCCATGGTGAGCTTAACTGCAAAAGTTGGCGCACATAGAGATTTCAGGCACGCCATGAACGGATCAAAGAACTGTGCAGAACAGAACAGTGTGCGGCATTGAGCGAAGGGATGTGCAGATTCCAGGGCCTGCAGTCTGCACTCACGGGACAGGGCTTGCCCTAGGTCAGCTCCCAGGTCCCGCAGCCGCTTCTTGAGCCCGTCGAGGTCCTCTGCAACACGGAAAATCTCATCAATCGGAGGAAAAACCGCCTAATCGAGCCCGAAATCTGAAGGATTTCTCCCGCATTTCGTTTCGCCGGTTGAAAAGAGGGCCCCTTGGAGAAAGATTGGGGTTTTCAGTTTGGGCTGAGAGGAGAGGGAGGGAGGGAGGGGGGGCGTGCCTCGGCGGGAGACGGACTGGTGGGCGGCGGAGCGGGCGGAGGCGGCGGCGGCGCGGACGGCCGCCGAGGCGGAGGCGAAGCGGTCTCGGCCGGCGGCCATCCGCCGGTCGCACGCCGCCCGCTGCGCCGCCAGGTCCTCCGCCATCCTCGACCGCGGCTGGTCCATGCCTGCCGCCGTATCCTCGCGGCGGGTGAGGGCCCTGGGCCGCCGGCGAGGAGAGCAAGGCGGCGCCGGTGAGAGCGGGCGAGGAGCAAGGCGCTGCAAAATTCTCTTTGGCAGTCTCTCCGTGGGCCCACCGTTCAGTGAGAGAAAGAGAGCCTGGTTGCAAAAATCACTTTTTTTTTCATATCCGTTTTTTTTAACACGAGTCCGGATCTAGGAGCCGCTTTGTACCGTTTCATCGTCCCCGAGGACGAAATCACTTGGGTCGTTGAGCTCATCGCAGCAGCAACAGCAACCGCAACATCAACAATCGCAGGAGGTAAGGCTGCAGACGCCGAATCAAAGCCTAACATGATGTCCTTCTGGTTCCAAGCCTGGTACGTAAAGACAGAGACAGCGGCCCAAAAAAATGACAACGGAGCTCCAGATGGCCACCCTTCAACTAGAAGATTGAACAACGACATTTGCATAGGCCGGCAAATGGCCACGACCGCTAATTCATCCATAGAAGGAGGAGAGCGATGTCGGGCGTCGTAGCTCCATCGCGGTCACCGCTAATAATATGCTTGGAGAGGATCATCTGCGGGATGTTCCAAATGCTTCGCCTTCTTCTTTTATGTGAACCTGCACTAGATAGATGAGATGAGCCATGATGAGATCCCTTACCTATTTTTCACCCACCACCCGCATGGAAGAAACGGGACGGACACAACCTCAACTTGATCCGACACAACAACGAGCTTATTTGCCAAGCTTTCGGCATATCCATGTCAGACAGTCTTTCATGAAAGATGCTCGGAGATGAAGGAGGCTTATCCATGCGCTGCTCGAAGACGTCGTCAAAAAACGTCTTACATTATGGGATAGATGGAGTAAAATACTTCCTAAACCAAAGCTACAGTTGCCATCTATAGCCCCATCCCTACTTTGTTTTGCCTCATTGGTGGATGAGAAGGGAAAGATGAACAACTCTATTGAGGTGAGTCTCAGGGGGACTCGAGGGAGAGAAGAAAGTAACGACGAAAGTATCAGTTACCGAGTGGTTATCCGGGTTTTTTCATTTGCCGAGGTGTGATATGTCATGAGATATAGTGTCAAATTCACCCCCAAAAGGCCATTTCTGGGTTATTTCTCTGGCTTTCTAAACTTCAAGTGGTTAGATACCTTGTTCTATAGTCAATAGGGTTATGTAAAACCTTAACTTAACTATTTCTTATTCCATAGAACCGTGCATGTAACACTTCATATATGTCTGTTCTCTTCATTTGCAGTGACATTCTAGTCATTCTGAGACAAGAGAATGGTTTGTGCTAGGTTCGATTCGTTTGCCGGAGGCAGTGGTGTCCGGCAATGAAGCAACAATATCATAGCCCCTGCCGTGAGGGCCGTGTCTCTGCAATGTGTGCGTTCAAAGGTTTCAACTTCCTTGCCCCTCTGTGGTGGGCGGCTCGTGTGGATATTCAAACCTTCAAAATTGGTCGAATCATGCGACTACGATTCTCCGCGGATCATTTCGTTACCAGGCGCATCGAGGAAGCTGGGGCCGCGACCGGGGAAACCGGAGATAACGACTTCGGTGTGGGTTTAGAAATAATTTCAAGAGTCTTTTTTCTTTTCGGGAGCTTTTTTTTCGAGAGTTCGTCATTGTTTGTTCTTTATTGGTTGCTTTTTTATTTGGGCTACTTGGATTTGATCTTGCTGTCTTCGGGGAGAAACATGCAAACACGTGGGTATTTTGTGCCAAGCCGATCATCCATCCTTGCAGCTGACCGTGGGTGACGAAGCGCGGTCTAGTATTTACGAGGTATTAGCAGGAAGCGTGGGTATTTTGTGCCAAGCCGATCATCCATCCTTGTAGTTATGTAAATCGTTGGGTTCAGCTGAACCCAACGCTCAACGAGTTTTCCTCCTGTCCCTGGCGGTTGGAAACCCTAGCCGCCGCCAGGAGACCCAATCTTTCAGCGCCGTTCTCCGGCGGCTCCCCTCCGCCGGCGACCTCGGTCGTCGATGGTGAGGGGGGTCGCCGGATCCACGCGTGTGGATCGTTTTTACTCCCTCGTAGTTTTAGATTTTTAGGTTGTTCATCGTCTTTGTTTCGACGGCGACGATGACAACGCTGAATAAAGATTCTTCGGATCCTTCCTTGACAAGGCCATTGGTCCTATGGTTGGGGATGGATTTGGAAACCAGTCTGTTCAAGTAAGGATGGCGTGGCGGCGGCGGCATCCTCGTGGTGGACCTGTGTCCTCGGGCTCCGCCATTGCGACGGCGTTTACTCCAGCGTCGGCGCGGAGCTTGGGAGGTAGTCCAGGAGCGGATGCAGATTGTGGTCTGCATCGACGACATCTGGAAGACGGAACATGTGCTGGATTCGTGGTTCGTGGATGGCAGGTATGGTTTCCTTCCGCGGCGTCTTAGTCGCGGTGGGGTGCCAGATCTGGAGTTGGATGGCGTGTCTGGGGTGTTGACCCGGTCTGATTCGTTCAATGGTAAGGGCTTCACTTTTGGTGAGCCACCTTGGAGGTCCGCAAAGCTGCATATTAGCAATGGAGCCGCGTCGAGCTCAGGTGAGGAGGTGATCCATCATTCTTTTCTTCGGTGGCCGCTGTCGTGGTGTCGGAGACAGGTGATGGGCGTTGGTGTCAAGCTTAGAGATGTTTTGCTAGCTTTTCAATTTTGTCATGTCGGTCCTTATGTGACTTGTACTTTAATCTTTATGATATGAATGAGACACGAATTACCATGCAAAAAAAAGATCATTCATCTCTGCAATTTACTTCCTAATAAACAAATAATATCCCTCCTCCTCTACCTATGGCAATAAAGGAGAGATTAATAGTTATCCCTGGAAACGAGGGGCTCTCCTCCTCTATTTACTCCCTCTCGCTGGTGCCCCTTCCCATGCCATGCCATGCCATCCCCATCGCCCGCTGGATGCGCCTCACGCGGATCCACCTTGCATCCAACGCCTCCCCACGTTTCTCTCCTGCTCCTCCTCCTGCTATAAATCCCCGTCCAGTTCCTCCTCCACGCGGACAGGGACAGGGGCAGGACGCGGGCTGCTCTCTTCTCCTCCTGCTGCCGATTGATTCAGCTTGTGGCCGCCGGTTGAGCAAGGAGACAGTCGGCGAGGGCGTCGAGGAAGCCGCGGAGCAAGATGCAGAGGAGGCATGGAGATGTGAGTTTTGTTTTTCTTCTTCTTGCTGACCGAGATGATTATTGATTGATTCATTCAAGTGGAACCTCCAATGATTTCACCAATCACCACTGAGGCCTCGATCGATGCAGCAGTCTTGTGGAGATGGATGTACTCAAGGCGGTCAAGAGGTACGTACGGTCTTGGTTGAGCCACTCATCTCCAGATCAACAACCTAACAACAAGTACGTAGACACCCATTATATTCTGACAACTAGGTGTTCTGGTTGCATGGCAGGTGTTCTCCCGAAAGCTAGATTGGTCACTGAGGTTCCTAGTTCCAGTTCCATCAGCATACCCTGCCAAATGGTGACCTCACATCGCTGTGGTTTTAGAGCTCTTTTTTCCTTTCACCTTTTTGACTCTCACATTTTTGTTTTCCTCCAATATCTTAGATGGAATGAGGCTAAAGGCGGAAGCAAATCTGAATGCATACCAGACACTTTGACATCCTAATTAAGGCAGGGGTATATATAAGACTTAGTCTATCCTATGTCATAAATTCTCACCATACTCCATCACAAGACTGGGAAGTAAGAACAGACAGTTTTTCAAGCTCATTTTTTTTGATGCGAGGATGACTCAGTCTCTGCATCTGGGCGATGCATGCATCCATTTTATTAATCATTCACAAAGACCTTACCAAGTAATACATCAGTAAGTCTGAAACCACCATCTTAACAAGATCTGTCGCTACTCCTATCCAATTGTTGAAGGGGTGCCGATTGTCTGAGCCGGATACCAAACAGACCTCGCACCAAGACCTAACATCTAAAGCCGGAACCCTCAACCAAGCCGCATTGCCGGGTCTGGGGCAGACACCGGTCCGCCGCACTCGCAGAGGCCGCTGCCGCATTCTCCCGCCGATTCATCTTCAGACGCATCGACCTTAACAGGCCTGCCGTTGACGCCACCACGGCGCCAGACCTTCTCCCTAGCTACACGCGTCCATCATCACACATCCGTCGCCGAGACCCCGCAGCACCACACCGCCGGGACTCCATGTTGCCGATGTGTCACATGTAAGTGTAACGCCGCTCCACCGCTGGAACCGTCTACTGATCCCTCAAGCCATGCTCATTGCATCACGAAAGATGCATGAAATGCATGAGACTAATTTTTAGCATATCATAGCAAAGAAACCTGCACAAAATGGGACATTATGAATATAGTAAATATGACTGTCCTTGTACAAATGCACACCAGTTCCGAATAAAATGGCCCTTCCCTTCTTTCGGGAAATGCAATTCCGAGCCCAGGCTCAGCTGAACCTGATATCTCATCCGTCCATTCGCATGTGGATGTGCGCTTTTACTTGTATTCAAAGCTGTATTCAGACTGTATATGATATAAACATTTCGTGGGTCTGTGGTGCATTGAATGCAGCAGGCGCCGTCACCTCTCGGGCGCACGGCCTGATCCTCTTGAAAGGGACCTAGCAGTCAACATGGCATGGAAAAAAGGAAATAAATGACACTTACTCCAGTTGTTGCATCAATTGCTGCAGAACGAAACTCCTAATTAACGGTCTTAAGATCATGAGTAAACTGCACCAAAAATTCACCTTCAAGGGATGGTCTAACAAAACCAGACTGTAGGACTGATGAGTGACAAAAATTGCTTGGCATTGGCTTGACTAGCCTTTGGTCGCAGAAAAATATTTGCCAAGTTACTGCCCACCAGTCACATAGTCACACGATCACGATGACATCGTTGCAATGTGCCCACCATCAGCCGCTATGTAGCCATATCCTATATATTGAACCCGAGCACGGCGACTTTTACCGGTGCACCAAAAAGCATTACC